GTCCAGTAACTATTGCAATAAAATTAATTTAGTAACCTTTTTTAACCGACTTCAAAAAGGAGGAAGTTCTCAATTCGTCGTTATACATATTTTTGTTGTAGTTCGCGAAAATCTCCGAGGTCCGTTGACCGATTTTGATGATTCTTTTTTATTTGTAATAGTTTGTTAGCAAAATTTTTCGAAAAAGAAATAGGTCTATCGGACTTGCACGAGACCTCAAAATTTTATTTTAATTTTAAAGTTCTTTGGATTTAAAAAGTTTCTGTACACCAGAACGATATCAGCAATGCCGTCTTTGAGTGTCATTTTTGATGCTTAGATGGCGCGTCACACAAACACAGACACACACACACCTAGTGATAAGTCATGATTGTCATCGTCCGGTATCTCAAATCGAAATTGCCTTTTATATCGCAGGATAACCTGTTATGAAAGTCAGGAGTGCAAATATTCTTTTTAAAAGGCAACAATAATAAATACTCTAGATACAACAACACGAACAAAATCGTGGCTGAAACCTGCCTAAAGAATGAAAAAAAAAATTGAATGATGCACGAAACCCCGTAAGATGATTGCGTTGTCAAAAATAATATAAGACATAATTTAAACATTGAAAGTCACCTTTAATTCATACTGCTTAAGGTCTTAATTAAAACGCATGTGTCAAATAGTTATGACAGCTCGAAATGCAAGCTCGTAAAATTTTACCATTTAGCGCTGTATGCGGAATAACATAGACCTTATTTCTTTGACTCTACGCCCAATTCTGACTACTTTGTTAGTACTATAGCAGGTACGAATTGCGAGGAAAAGAAAGGGCTATATAACCGACCATACATTTGAATATCACAAATATTTTCTATTTAATTAGTTTATAGTATGTATGAGAACAAATTTGGCTTCAAATGCGTTAAATTAACAAACATTGATTAGAATAAATATTTGTAAATTAACCTTTATACCTGTCGAAAAAAAGACAGTTTACGTACCTATAAGTATTTTTTTCGAATTTTTCCACGGAGCTCTCTCATCTTGACTTTTCAGCGGTCCGCGCGTGACTGTGAACCACGAAGTGCTTGACTGGAGTTCAAGCACTTCTTGATTGGGACACATTATGAGCGCACGTGGTGTATTATCCGTGCGGTGACGGAGAAAGAATACAACTCACCGCCCCTTTTCTTCCCGTGGGTGTCGTAAGAAGCGACTAAGGGATGTCGGAGCTTCCATCCGCTCTTCTGGTGGTAGGGTGCCTAACACCCGCCTGGTTTGTTACCACCGTGCGCATGGTGAAAAAACCCGTGAAGTGCTTCTCGCGCGTTTCGGGGTCAGCCAGCGTACAACCAGAGCTCGAGTGGAAGTTGTCGCGAAGGATTCGGTCCAGGGGAGGCATCCGTGGAACCGATGCCGGGAGGACTGCATCGACCCGTCGGCCAGGGAGACCCGTAGAAACGGCTGTCCCGCTGGCCGCCCGTGGCACAGTACAGGGGCCCAAGCGTTCCTAACCAGTTCGCGAGGCTGCCCCATCATGTCACGCATAATCTCGGGGTGGACCGTCGTGCCGGTTGGTGACCGGGGCGTGGGGTCCCGGCGGCCACTTCCGGGGGGGTGCGGGGGCCCTTCCGTCCGGCGGGTCGGCGCATCTCCACTGCAGGCAGTCAATCGGGAAGACAAACCCCCCTTATTTGCCCGGACTCTTCGCGACGGCGTCCGCTCGTTTTCGCGTCTCTTTTTTTTTTCACTTCCACCATGGCAGCCTCAAAAACAAAGTTTGGACGTACAGCGGTGCACACCCCCACGCCTTCAACGCTGTTTGAGGTCGAGTTCTGCAACATACGCGGACTCCACTCTAACCTCAACGCTGTCCACCACCATCTCGAGACAGCACGGCCAGCATTGTTGTTCCTGACGGAGACACAAATACTTCCGCCTGCTGACACAGGCTACCTTAATTATCCCGGCTACGTGCTTGAAGAGTCCTTCAAAGCGAAAGCCGGTGTATGCCTGTATGTTCGGGCGGATGTTTGTTGTCGCCGTCTCCGCTGCTTGGAAGATCCCTCCTTCTCCATGCTGGGGGTACACGTCGACTCTGGCCCCCGGGCCAGAGTCTACGTGTGCCTCTACAGATCCCACACCGGCGATGTTGAGACAACTCGACTTTTTGAACACCTTAGTCGGGCAGCAGATGACGCGCAGGAGCGATTTCCCAATGCAGAATTGGTGTTTTTGGGGGACTTTAATGCTCACCACAATTTGTGGTTAAGTTCTTCCAAAACTGACCATGCAGGGATCTCTGCTCACACATTCGCTCTCACGCATGACTTGAAGCAACTGGTTGATCAGCCCACCAGGATCCCAGATATTCCAAGTCAAGCGCCTTCTTTACTGGACCTTCTGCTCACGACCCATCCACAGGGCTATCAGGTTGTGGTAAGAGCCCCCCTGGGCTCGTCCGACCACTGCCTGATATCCGCCAAAGCACTACAGGCCAAGCCTCCGCGTCCAGCAGTGGTCAAGCGCCGAATCTGGCATTATGGGTCGGCAGATTGGGACGGTATGCGTGATTACTTTGCGTCCGTCCCTTGGAAGCAGCGCTGCTTCAGTGACAGGGACCTATCGGGCAGTGCCGTTGCCATTACTGAGGAGATCATAATGGGTATGGAATACTATATTCCTCATTCTGATCTCATCAGTAAGGGCACACGTAACCTCTGGTTCAATCACGACTGTGCTGAAGCTGCTTCGCGTAAGCAAGCGGCATATCGTGCTTGGATCAGAGGCCGCGCTCTCAAGGATCCCGGGGTCGATTCACTCAAAGCAGCCTACAATTCTGCTTCCAAGGCCTGTAAGAAGGCTTACATCAGAGCGGATGCCCAGCGTGTTGCACGTGTTGGCCAGGAACTTATAACGCATCCTGCGGGCTCCCGTAGCTACTGGCGTTTGGCTAAGGCCGTGCAAAAAAACTTCTGCCAGCCCTCGCTGCCACCTCTGAGATGCCCAGACGGAACACTAGCTCATAAGCCGCAGGAGAAAGCCGATTTACTGGCAAAACTCTTTGCGGCTAACTCCCGAATCGATGATTGCAATGCACTGCCACCATCATTACCTCACTGTGGCACAACGATGCCTGATATTAAAATCAGGCAGCGTGAGGTTCGTGCCGAGTTGCAATCACTCGACGTCCGGAAAGCTAGTGGACCTGATGGCATCCCAGCAGTAGTACTTAAAAAATGTGCAGCGGAGTTGTGTCCCGTGCTCACGCGCTTGTACCAATGCTCGTATTCTTTGGGGCGTGTGCCGGAGACTTGGAGAGATGCTAACGTGCAACCGGTACCCAAAAAAGGGGATCGCTCGGACCCGGCAAACTATCGGCCAATAGCAGTCACCTCAGTTTTATGTAAAGTTCTAGAAAAGGTCCTTAATAACCATCTGACCCGCTACCTAGAGGATCACTCCCTGATTAATGATCGTCAATATGGATTTAGACCGAAACGATCGACGGGTGATCTTCTAGCGTACTTAACTCATATCTGGGGTGAGGCTATCGACAAGCGTGGCGAGTCGTTGGCTATCAGCCTTGACATTGCCAAGGCGTTCGACAGGGTCTGGCACAAAAGCCTTCTCTCCAAGCTTCCGGCATACGGTCTGCCAGCCCAGTTCTGTTCTTGGGTAGCTGACTTCCTGCATGAGCGTAGAATTCGTGTCCTTACGGATGGTAGCAGTTCGCGGTTCATGTCAGTGAATGCCGGCGTTCCCCAGGGCTCCGTCCTATCCCCCACTCTCTTTCTGCTGCATATCAATGACCTGATTCCTCTTGGGAATATTCATTGCTATGCAGACGATAGTACAGTGCATGCGGGGTATCTCGGACAAGCAGCGGCTGGGCATGCAGTAACCAGGGAGAAACGGGAAAATCTTGTCATTGAACTCAATCAGGCTTTGGAACACATTTCCGAATGGGGTACCAGGAACTTGGTTGGGTTCAATGCCAAGAAAACTCAGGCTTGCGCTTTCACGGCAAAAACATCGCCATTCCTTCCCCTTCCATCTCTTCAGGGCACAACTCTACCGCTGCAGAGCAACATTTCCATGCTCGGTATGGAAGTTCGCTCAGACCTGAATCCAAAGGACTACATCGAAACCGTGATCAAAACAGCTTCACGCAAACTCGGAGTCCTGAACAAGGTGCGGCGTTTTTTCACGCCCGATCAACTGTGCTTGTTGTACAAAACGCAAGTGCGGTCCTGCGTGGAATATTGCTCGCACCTCTGGGATGGCTCCGCCAAGTACTTGCTCGATGCTTTGGATAGGTTACAGCGGCGCGCGATCCGCATCATAGGCGATGAGGAGGTGACTAAACACCTTGAGCCTCTTCAATTACGCCGTGACGTGGCGTCACTAAGCGCGTTCTATCGTTTGTACCACGGCGAGTGTTCTGAGGAGTTATTCTCTCTTATCCCACCTTCCCCTTTCCTTCAGAGGACCACGCGCGCTGGCCTACGTTGTCACCGTTTTACTGTGGCCACAATTCCAACGCGTACAAAGAAATTTGGTGACTCATTTCTTTGTCGCACTATCCGTAAATGGAATGCTCTGCCCGCTCACGTGTTCCCTCCCTCTTACAACCTGGGATCCTTTAAAAGAGGCGTGAAGAAGCAGCATGCAGGCCGGCAGGGTGAGGATGGCTGGTGTGGCAGGTAGAACTGCTGTATCAGCTATCTTCGCGTCTGGACTTCACCTTCACTTAACATCAGGTGGGGTGGAGTCATTTGTCAGACCTAACTATAAAAAAAAAAAAAAAAAAAAATGTAATATCGTTGTTAAAAGGTTATAAAAAATATCCATATATTTTTTTAATAATTTATATTTATTCAAACAAGGAGGTTTTGGTGGGTTTTTTCCTAATAGGTATCATTCATTTAGGCGTTAAATAATTTTTAATCTGGCGGAAATTGGAAAGTCGCTTTTGCTTCTGGCAACCCAGATCTGTTCATTCAACATTCATTCAATTCATTGCACAACGAAAAGCGAAAATAATAAAAATTCGCCTTTGCTTTGATCTCTCTCTGCTGTTTTAAGTGATTAAAAGTGTTTGTTATAAATTACTTGTCAGTAAAATTTAAACATTGGTTAAGATTTGATACAGTAACTTACACACAAAAAAACATGTTCCGTTTTATAGTTGCGTTGTTGATAATCAACTCCTATTCAGGCAGTTCGGGAGCTCCTACAAAAAATGTTTCGCTCTCTTTTTTGCTGAATGATCTTGCTAATAAATGTAGTAGTTCGTTTCTGTCGACCCAGATGGAAAACAGACTCGGCGATTGTCATGTGTCTGTTCCTCCGTATCAAAAGAAGCAACTTGAATGTCTATTATTTTACGATATAAATAGACAGCTTTGCGAAGCTGTCGCCTCATCCAAGTTGAATCTTAATGAAGACTACACTTCCAAAATACTAGCAGAACAAGATGGAACACAGCTGTGTGCCGCCTCAAAGGATTGGACTTTTACTAACATCAGTGAGGTGTATAATAAAACAGTAAATGCTGTGTTTCATGACCCAGCTAAGTGTTTCAAGTTTTGTGTTCTTGACAGCGATAATGTTTTGAGTGTGGACACCACTTTTTACTGTAAATACTTCAAATGGGGGTCAAATATGTTGAAGTCTCAGTTGAGTATAACTAACCCCGAGAATAATGCAGACATTGTTGTTCATATACCAAATGAAAATGTTTCTATAAAAAATAATTCTGATACAAGCAGTAAACCTGATATTGATACTGAGAATGATCTTCCATCTAATCATGACAGCACAAACACTATAAAAATCCTCCAGCCTAATGTTGCTAGTTCTAAAAGTGATTCTATCACATCTACAAATAAAGTGAACTCAGAAATAGTGGTTACACCAAACAAACTTGAACAAAATACAGTCCATGTTAAACAAAATGATGTCTCTGAAGTTACTGATGGCGATAAGGAACACAATATTTCAATCCCCAGTGTAAATACAGGGACCTTAATGAATGGTTTAAAACCACCCTTGGATGCTAGATTATTAGCTCACAAAGAAAAAACAACAAGCACAATAAGTCCAGTTGAAAACAACAATAAGAAAATAGAGACGGGCAAAGACGGTACAAGTCAGGATGTGATAAATCAGATTGAAAACAGACCTGCCATTGATAATGGAGATCCCGATGACTATCCTGCAAATGACAATGGTAAGCCTCATTTAACTTTAACTGCAGATTCTCTTAATAACTAATCTATATGTAACTAATAAATGTTTGGGAAGTCTGCAAAAAGTACACTAAAAACAAATGAGTAAAATTTTGAAATTATAATTTTTATTTAACCTCAGTCACATTTCTCTCATTTTGTTTTTCTTTATGACATATTAACAATCGGATGATTGTTGAGAATATTCATAAAAAATGCCTAATCCCTTTCATTTTAGTTAAAAAAAACAAAGTTGAAATAAAAGAGTAATTATTGTCACATTGATATTTTTTTAACTTTAAAGCAGATTTATGTTAAGAGCTATAGTTAGGTTATTAGTCACTAGCATGTGATTGTTTCTGTATTGCTTTTTGGTATTGAATTTTCAGTACATTTTACCACCTTTTTAATTTAAAGTATCTGTTATTGTCACTATTGATTGTTAATGGTCAAATAATTGTCAATCTTATCAAACAGTTTAATTTGTATGTTTAGATTCAGAGGAAGTCAGAGACGGGCTTGGTGACACTCATGTTGATGAGGACCCAGATGATACATTAGATACTGCTAAAATAGAACAGATTGTAAATAAAAAGGAATTGAAAATGGATGAACAGAAGATTGACAATAATGATCTTCTACCTAAAGGTAATATGTTTTGTCTTAAAAACTTGCAAGTTGCTATTCATCACAGATTATAATCTAATTGTATATTAAGTGCTTAGTGGGCTGCCCTTTATTGAAAAACAAAGAAAAAGATAATTTTTTTGTGGCCTGCTTGATCTAGCAGTTTGTGACCCTATCTGCAAATCCAGCTGAACAAACCTCCACAATCACAGACTGATCATGCTAACCACTGCATTATAATCATCAAAATATAATATTGAGAAAACATATAATTCTATTGAGAATAGAGGTAGGGCATAGCAGATATTTAGCTTGAATTGGAGCACCCGTCCTGGGAAGTAACTTTCACCTTATAGAAGATAACAGTAAAATAACACTACCTTTGTCGTCTTTATTAAATTACAATATGTCTTATGTGAAAAGGACAATTCTTACTTCCCTGAGGTTCGAGAGGTCTAGAGGCTCCAGACGGAGAGTAGACTACCCCCGTGGGGAGATGTCATCCGCCCAGAATACCTCTAGAGGCACTCACCAATTCTCGGTCCCATTAGGATCTCGCTGTCCCCAAACCTTGTGATGCTGTTAAGGTCATCTGTGACCGACAGCTTTAAAAAAAAAGGCAATACTTTCTAGTGCTTCCTTAGTTTTCATTTATTATTGGGGTTAAAGGTTTAATTTTAACCTTGCTTTAGTGTTTGTTCAGTTGTATGATTGAATATTCACATCATAGTTTAAATACAAAGATATGTATAGGTATGTGCTTAGTACAATTGCTTAAATATTTTTATCATGGAAGACCAGGTCAACATGCTATACAATCATAGTATAATTTAATACCTCATTTTATCCACTGTGTAAGTTTACAGATGTGTTTTAAATCAAAATATGTAATAGATATCCCTTGTTGTTTTTCAGAATCATATTCCAATACCATTCCTGATTTTGCCGAGGAAGATGATCATTTCTTTCCATTTTTCTTAACAGCCATAATAATGGTTGTGTTGCTGTATATCCTGTACCATAATAAGAACAGAGTGAGCAAAGTGGTATGTGCACTAAATGAATATCCATCTAATACAGACATTTATTTTTGTCAGCAAAACTTGGCACTAAAAAGCATGTTTTTTTTTATAAGAAATTCTAATAATGGACCTGCCAAAAGTTTAAGCAGGAATATTTTTTTCTGTGTAAATGTTTCTCCTTACTTAGAACTTTTATTTTTTTATTTGTTCTTTTCAAAAGGTTTTTGTCAAAAGTCATGTTTTTTTTTGCTTTAAATATTTTTAATCAGAAATCAATATATCTTTATTCAAATTGGATGTATAGTACAACTATTTTGAATCATCCAAACATTTTTTTCTCTACCACTTGTTATTGAACATATTTTTTAGCTAAGCAGAAAAATGAGCGAAATAAAAATGGGTGCGTGTACTTATGTAGGCATGTGAGAAGTTATCCTTCTTTGGCATCGTTTAAAATTAGTTTTTAATTGCATGCAAATAATTAATTACAATAAATTAATAAAAAGTCTGGAAAAGGACACAGTCAATAAAGTTCAGTTTTAATTTGAAAAAATAAATAAATAATCAAAATATTCAATTAAAATCGCTACTGAATATAATTTATTAGAACATATGTGATTTGCACTTGTATGAAACTCAAACACGTATTCCGAATATACAGACTAGAAACGTGGATAAATATTATAAATATGAATACCTATAACTGTTACTTTATTACAATAATAACATAAAAGTAACATTGAAAAATAAAGATGTGGTTTTTGGTTCTACTACACCAATGGTCAAGAGATGGCGCTGTAGTCTCCTGAATCGCGCTTTTGATAGGCCTTCACAATGCAGTCGTTAGCACCCACTAAATAGAGATTCTATTTCTATTTTGTTGGTATATTTTCTTAATGTGCGGTAAACACAAAAGTAACGCATGAAGTTGGTCGCTAAAACGACCAACTTCATGCTGTTAAAATTTTGTGTTACAGTGATGCGCGCGCATCTTAAAATTTCAATCTCATAATTTTTTCATAACGCGCCTAAAGAAGTATAGCTTCAAAAATCTCCACAACTTTAAAAGTATAATGTAACAACATTTACAAATCATTATGTTGTTTCAATGTCAATACAATCATGATTTATTTAATATAGAAACCTGTTGGAATAATTGGTATCATTTTTGAATATGCATAAATTATTTTTATGGATACTATGTGATGATATTGCTATGTTCTCAAAATTTTCAGGTCCTCGGTCTGATAGTGGAAGGTAGGCAACCAGGCCGTCGTCGCAACAGCAGAGGGCATGCATACCGACGCCTCGATACTTTAGAGCAAGCTATGAGCACGAATACAGCAGCACCGCCCAGTAAAATCATCTACTGAATCAACTTTCAACATTTAGGTAAAAAAATCAGAGACCCATTTGTGGTACCCTATAAGTATATTGTGTTAAATTTTCTTTTGTATCTTATGCCAATTTTGCACTTTTATATTAGCTATTGATGATTTTTTTTCGTCTACGGCTTCTAGTAAGGGTGCCACTGATTCACAGCAGCTAACTTCTTTGCATTTGTTTTCAGCTTTGATTTAAAATTTGGCTGAAGTACTGTATGTACTACCTAAGAAGTCCTTTTTTATTGAATACTTTGTAAATCTAACCATAATCAAAATATGTTAGTGGTGTCTGCTTTGATTTAAGGTAAGATTTTAGTTTTCTGTGTATCATAATCATATAGTTATATTATGCGCCATTTCTCAAGTGAAACAAAAGCCGTGATCCTATATTTTATTGCGAGTATTAAAAATATGTTTTATAATGTTAAGAGAAGTATTATTAGATCAAACTAATCAATTCAAGCTCACAATAAATAATTGTATGTAAATAAATACTTACATCAACATTTTATAATGATAAAAATAATGATCAAGCTTTTAAGAAAAAGGTTATTCAGTTTAAAATTTAAATTAAAAGATTTTTTGGAACTCGAAATGATATGCCATGCGTAGGTTTTAAAAACTGTGAGACCTTGTACTGAAAAGAACCAGTAATTAAATCGATGGTAATGCTTATCCATTTCATAATTAATGAAATCTATATAGCTCTTGACTTATTTACAATAAGTTGACTGATACCTTTGATTAATGCATTTTTTCAGTATTGTAGTAATACTTTTCAACTATGAGTGCATGTCAGTGCCTATACATACTTCAAGAGTAAAATTTCTCAAATTTGCATAGAATACAGATGAAATCGATTGTAAGTCATTTATTCACCCGTCAATCATCATTTTCATTTAAACTTATTTAAATGATAAAATAATAAAGTAAATTCTTATAAATAGATAATAATAATTCATGATTAGAGTACAAACAAATTAAACATTCATTGCCATCCGTTCAAACATTTTGGTACTGTGGTACTGTTTTGTAGTAATTGACTATTACCGCGCAACTGAAATAAACTTAAGAAAATGAGTAGCTTATATTACTAAAATATCAACGCAGACGTCTTCAAAAATCAGTCATGATTGTTTGTTAGAACTAATAGACCTAAATAAATCTTCTCAGTATGCTGATTGAACGAGCATCTATATCAGTTGGTTTGCTATGTGCTAAGTGCTTTACCGTGTATCTAAATTCTGGATTTAATATGCATATTATTGTTATAGATGGCGCTGTTATTCTTAAAAAATATGAGAAATGTAAAACTTGTGTGGCGCCATTATGAATAAGGTCATTAAAATGTACAATTTGTTTGATATATTTTAGTTCAGCTGAAGTTAGCTGTTTGGATTAAAAAAAGGTACTAATCAGCAAAGGATACCAAGTCCAAGATATTTTAAACGATCGAAATGTCTGGGAAGAACCCATCTATTCCCATCCTTTGCCTATTAAAGTTATAGTATAGATTCCGAAGACCGCCAGACCTTACTAATTTTCTGATGGACAAAATTTGGATAAGCTTGCTAACTTGTGCTGTGGGCCAATTTTCAGGATATTTAATTATTAAGAATAAAATAACCCACAAGCCCAGTCAAACGGCTAACTTCAGACCGACGAAGTTAGTCGGACGAACGGAACTTCCATGTTTTATCGCAATGTAAACGGAGCGATCTAGTAAGTTCAAAACATATTCTAGAGGTAGATCTCAAAAATATAAAAAATAAAAATGTAAAGTGGTGTAGTTCTTTCTTAGGGCATACCGTCATTTTATTTTTACGATCTCAAGATACTGTTTCCATTAAATGAAGTCACAGCCTTTTTTGTTAGTTTTTCCCAATTCTGAATATATATTAATAATATAATATTGTAAAAAATTCAATATTTGTGTAAAGACAACTTGTTCAATACAGTAATTGATGTTCTTGAAAAGTAAATTGTTGCAGTATTGAATTACAGATGGTACGGGCATCTACACTCTGCGTTTAAGTTATTATATTCATCAGTATAATTAAAAATTCAAACGCTCTGCCCATTTAGATTAGAAACTAAATTTTACGTTTAATAATACTTTATCAGCACTTCTCTCAGCAAAAGGCCATTGGTACTTACACCATTATTTTGATGCTAAAATTATTTATTCTATCATAGGTTTCGGCTAATGTATTTCTACTACACCACTATGCAGAAGGTAATGAGTACAATAATAGTTGTAATATTATTATTATGTAGAACATATTATTATCATCTGTTCTATCAAAAAACATACTATGCTGGCTTTTACATATTCCATCGTAAGATCATGTGAGATTGGCACATTTTATTTCTTAGTAAATTATTGAACGATTTTGTCTCTAGTTAGAAATATAGGTGATTAGCAACGAATTAGAAATTGTATGCAAAACGAACTGCACTAAAAGGTGATTCTACGCAAACTGCGATCAAGTGGATGGGGCGAAAAAAATGCGATCATGGGATTGGTTGTGATTTCCGCTTAACATTATCTTACCCAATGAATGGATAGCCGAATTAATTTGCAGATATCTAATTTTTCAAATTATTTTGTTTTGTCTGTGTGCGTGTCGCGTCAGCATTGAAAATTAGCTGTATGAGCTTGGCACCATGTTTTAGTGGCCTTTGTTAGAGAGTAATGCTTCCATATTATTTCTAATTCGTTGGTGATAAAATAATGTCTTTCAGCTGTGTAGCATAGCGGAGATCCTTATGATTTGTGAGACTGTTGTATTGTATGAAACACGGGAGAATGCCCCAAACTAATTTTATGAGTAGGTGAGCTATTGAATGATATTTAATATTATTTTTATAACAACTATCTTCTATTATGTGTTGCAATGTGCAATTACTAGGAATGATGACGGGTTAAACGAAATTCTATTTAGAAGACTATCAAAAAATAATGGACACTTAATTTTTCTTTAGTCAATCAACCAATAAATTACCAAGATAAAGCATGTCAAAGATTGGAAGTGGGGGCTCGTTACGCCACTTCCAAATAAAAATTGTACCAAGCCGTGACGTCATCTGACATTTCAAATCAATATTTAAGTTATCTCTGTAACGTTTGGATTGTGTGAATAAAGAAAAAATACGTGTCCAATACTTTTTGTTAATCTAACTGAGAGACGAATAAAAAAATGTCATCATCCGGATTTATTTAAAGTAAGTAGATTAAATTTTGCCGTTTAATGGATTCTTATAGTGATCGACGCGATTCAATCGTCACAGTGATTGCTACATGACAAAGCGCTGCATATATAAGTATATAATTTGGGTTTAAAAAATTAGAAAGCACACTGATTTAGTGGCGAGATGAAGGAGAACAATCTTATTGTTTGATTCCAGCTCCTCCCGCCTTTCGCAAACTTAAGGCGTGGCCAACGAGTTGCGATCAGCATGTAATACTCAACAAGGTGAAAAGGCATATTATAATTTTGTTTTTGTTTTGGTACGCCGTCATATTTATAAAACAAATTAACATAGTTCTTATTAATGCTGTATTCTGTCTGGGCATTGTCCTTTCTTGCAGTCAGTCACTGGAAATACGAGTTTTCATGGTATTTTCCTTTCCGTTTCGGTTGTGACTGTAGCAATATAGTAATAAGATGATTTACTATTCTTATAGTTATGACTGCGTATTCATGCCAGTTTCGCGATTTAATATAGCGTGTAGTCATTTACCTAAATAATAAATATTTTTAACACTTAAATATTATGATTTCCTTATTTTCTCTAAGTTATTTTTGAAGATGCCCTATAAGGGTGATTATATAAAGTTAAGTAGATTATTTCATATTGTATTTAAAATAAATTTCATAAAATACATGCTTGTATGTTGTTTTTATTTCCACACATCGATTTACAAATGTGCAATTGCTTTTGCTTACCATAAAGTGTTATCTTTTTTTTAACTTCAGAAAAATGTGTGAATGGTACCCCAGCGCCTTGGGAGGACGGTGAGGCTATATAGCCTATTATTATTTATTAGTTCTAACAAACATAGGGACTCCTCCCCCGCCTCTCGCCCGCCCGCTCAGCTAATCCAAGGACTGCCCTAGCAGCCGTTCGAGAAGAGGATGCACTAAAAACGTCAAAACCTGATGATGCCCCTCAGGTCACCACATGGCGTCACCTCGTCGGGCGCAAGTTTCACCATCAGGTGGCACCACGTCCGGCGAGGCAAAGGCCTGGGTGAGGTCACGAAAACCCGTTAGGATATTGCACGGTATCACCTGTTTAGTGAGAGGTTCACGCGCCTGAGCTCCGGGAGTGCTTCGGGAGTGGGTGGCCCGGTGACACGGAGACGGTTTCTCCGGTACCATTTCCAACCCAGCGTGCGCCAGGGGTTTTTAGTGGGAAGGCCTCCGAGGACTCATCAAACGGACCTCCGTTGGATAAATCCACGGAGGAGTGTCCCACATTACCTTGCCGCTTGTCACGCGGCGGAGTAAGCGGAACGCATTTTCCCCGCGGCAAAAAAAAAAACAGAGAAAAAAGTGGCGAGGTGGTGGTGCTAACTCACGCGCACTTAATTTTTTAACTGTTCTTTAATATAAATACATATACTCTAGATTTGGTTACTCAACCACCTCGAAACGACTTGGAAGCACGGAAGCGGCAATTTCTTGAGTTGTATTTCAATAATGGGTATGTAGATTTTTAGGGTTAAAACCCTAAAAATCCCTTTAATGGAAAGACAAAACGATATGTCGTCATATTAGCGCAGTGTGGTTTAGTTTAGCGCCATCCAAAAATAAAAACTATCTGAAATTTAATCTCTATCCAAAGAAAAGTTTACTAGAAAAAAATCCACGCGGACCAGGCAGCGGACGGGACTCGAACCTGCACCCTTCGCAATCCGGGCGAATGCACTGACCATTATGCTACCACGGCCTCTATCCAAACTTTAAAGTGCAGCGAGCAGCTTTAATTTTCTGTAAGTTGCAATCTTTACTGATTTGTCAAATGTCAAATACCCAGTACTGGCTGCTTCAACGGGCATTGCGACAATTTACCGCGTAATGGCGTAATGCATAACATACTGAATTATAAAATGGCAGCTATCGAATTTGGAAGTGAGATTTTATTTTACAAAATCATCCAAGATAAGTTTGTAAAATTTTACCACTTCGTGTCAACTAGTTCCTGTAGTAAAACGCCCTCTTGTAGGGATAATGGGAATCATTTTCAAACCCTGCCCTTTCACAGTGAAGGGAGTAATTTTTGCTCTGTATAAGCATTACCTTTATAAGTTCAAAGATGGCGTAACTACCGAGTTATAATAATTAGCGTTTTTGTTTACTGCAAATGTGGTGGTTATGATAAACTTAACCAAAAA